TTCTTTTGTTTTTCTTTTTCTAGTTGCTGGAATTGTTAAGAGTGTTGGTTGTGTTCCTTTCCTCTTTTTTTTCGTTCTTGTGATTCCAGAAACTTGTCCATCTCTTCTAGGTTCTCAAATCTGTTGGAATACAGTTTTTCATAATATTCTGTCAATATCTTTTTTATTTCAGTTGGTTCTGTTGTGATGACACCCTTTTCATTTACTATTCTTGTAACTTGCATCTTCTCTTTCTTTTATTAGATTTGCCAGTGATTTGTCAATTGTTAATTTTTTCAAAGAACCAGATTTTTTTTGTTGTTGATTTTCTCTATTGCCTTTTGTTTTCTGTTTCATTTATTTCTGCTCTGATTTTTATTATTTCCTTACTTCTAGATACTGTAGGATTCTTTTATTTTTCTTTTTCTAGTTGTTGGAGTTGTTAAGAGTGTTGGTTGTGTTCCTTTCCTCTTTTTTTTTATTGTATGCATATATTGTTATAAACTGACCTCTGAGTACTGCTTTTGCTGTGTCCCATTGGTTTTGGTACGATGTATCATTTGTTTGTAGGAATTTTTTATTTCACTTTTTATTTCATCTATTACCTAGTAGTTTTTGATCAGTATATTGTTCAGCATCCATGTTTGATATTTTTTCCTTGATCTTCCTATTATTAATTTCCCATTTTATAGCATTGTGGTCCAAGAAGATGCTTTGTAATATTTCAATGTTTTTGTATTTATTGAGGCTTGCTTTATATACTAACATATGATCTATTCTGGAGAATGACCCATGTGCACTGAAGAAGAATGTGAATTGTGCTTTTGTTGGGTGGAATGCTCTGTATATGTTTATGAGGTTGAGGTGGTTGATTGTGTTCTTGAGTTCTTCTGCATCTTTGCTGAGTTTTTTCCTACTTGATCTGTCTCTCCTTGAAAGTGGCGTGTTAAGTCTCTTAATCCTATTCTAGAGTTGTCTATTGTCCTTTTTAATACAATTAATATTTGCTTCATGTATTTTGGAGCACTTTTATTGGGTGCATAGATATTATTGTAATGGCTTCTTGGTCAATTGACCCTTTCAGCAGCATATAATGTTGTTCTTTGTTTCTTATGTTGTTTTTCACCTTAAAGTCTATTTTATCAGAAATTAATGTTGCCACTCCTGCTCTCTTTTTTTGGTTACCATTGGCTTGGTATTTTTTCCACCCCTTAGCTCTTAATTTGTTTTTAATCTTTGAATCTAAGGTGGGTCTCTTGTAGGCAGCATATTGATGGGTGTTCTTTTCTTATCCAGTCTGCCACTCTCTTTCTCTTGATAGGTGCATTTAGTCCACTGAGTGTAATTAGTGATGGGTATTACTAAAAAGGCAGGGAGGTCACGTGTTCTGACCTCCTCTAACCCCACAAGAGGAAGACAGAATCACTATCAGTAGCCCAAGGCCCATTCGTGTGAGGCCAGACATGCTGCCTCCCTTCAGCCCTTACACCAACCATTCCACCCGCAGCACCCAAAGTGTATCTGCCCGGTTTGATAATTCACTGCAGTGGCCACACAGAACTCACAGATTATGGGGTTTATTAGGGAAGCACCAGGCTACAATTCAAGTTCAGGAAAAAGGCTCAGTCTCTCTTCCAGCCCACCATCTCTCAGCCAAATCTCTCACAGTCTCTCCCCCAGCAGTGCTTATTCCTCAGTGTCTTACTCAGCAATGCATGTCTCTTGTGTCTCTTTCCAAGCAGCATGTGTCTCCCAGGAGTGCCTGTCTCTTTCAGCAGCCCATCTTCCTCAACCAGCAGGGAGAGAGAGCTCTGCCTCCAGGAGGCCTCCTTTTGAGCCTGGCAGAGTGGCCAAACTAGCCAATCATAGCATCAGAACTCTAAGCACCTGCGAGAGAGTGGGAACCTCCCAGAACATTGTTTTGTGCCACTCTCAACAGAAATACTTCAGGTAGACAACTTTAGCAATCAGGAGCTCCTCAGTTGCTCATAGCAAATCTCACCTTGGAGTTACAAAGACTTATGGGTAGAAACTCTGGTAGCATAGTGGCTAAGACACTTGCCTGCTAACCAGATGGCTGGCGGTTCAAACCCACCAGCCACTCCTCGGAAGGAAGGTTGGGCAATCCTACTTCCGTAGTTAACTGCCTCGGAAACCCAAGGAGGGGTCGCTATGAGTCGGGGCCGACTCAACGGCACATAACAACAACAACAATGGGTAGAAAAGCCACACTAAGTAATTTACTACACTGCAGGTATGAATTGATTGCTGTCATTCTATTGTGGTTTTTTGTCATGTTGTTGGAGTTTCCTTGGTCCATATACTTTTCTATAATGAGGTTTTTTTTTTTTTTTTTTCCCAGGTGTTTCCTCTCTTTTCTTCTTTATTGTTGGTTTTGTGCTTACTAAAAACCCTGTTCTTTTTTGTGGCTACCTTGGAGTGAATTCCAGTCTCTATATTTTTTGAACAGTCTGTTCTATGTGGACATTGTCCTGTTTTCCTCTCCATTTGGAAATTTGTACCTAGAATTTTTATTCCTTCTATTTGATTAGTTGCTGGTATCATGTGCAGATTGACTTCCTTGATTTTTAGTGTACTATGGTTTATGGTCTTATTTTGAGTGTCTTTTCTGATTTGGTTTTTGTGTTGATGTCATGTGTCCTGCTTTTGTCATTCTTTGTTGTGGGTTCTCTATTGGAAGGACTTCCTTAAGTATTTCTTGTGGGGCTGGTCTACTTTTCACAAAATCCCTTAATTTCTATTTGTCTGAGAATGTCTTGATTTCACCCGCATATTTGATGGGCAATTTGGCTGGATATAGGATTCTTGGTTGGAAGTTCTTTTCCTTCAGTGTTTTATATATGCCATCCCATTGCCTTCTTGCCTGTATCGTTTCTGCTGAGTAATCAGAGCTCAGCTTGTTTGTTTATTATAAAGAATATTTCTTTTTTCCCAGGAAGCTCATAAGATTCTTTCTTTGTCTTTGGTTTTGGGGAGTTTGATTATGATATGCTTTGGTGTTTTTCTCTTGAGATCTATCCTGTATGGGGTTCTTTGAGCTTCTTGGACAAATATCTCTTCTTCTTTCATGATATGGGGAAAGTTTTCTATTAGTAAGTCTTCCACAAGTTTTTCAAATGCTTTTTTTTCCCCCCTGCCTCTTCTTTTTCTGGAATTCCAATGAGGCGTATGTTGTTTCTTTTCATGTTGTCCTATATAACTCTTAGGTTCCCTTCATTTCTCTTAAATCTTCATTCTGATTTTTCTTCATACAGGCTGGTGTCCAGGGATTTATCTTCTAGTTGGGAAATGCATTCTTTAGCCAGTTCTAGCCTATTATTTTGTGCTTCCACTGTATTGTGTAATTCTGTAATTTTGGTATTCATTTTCTGGATTTCTAGCTGCTGTTTTTGTATGAGTTCTGATTGTATATTAATTTTGTTATTTTGTTCTTGAATGATATTCCTGAGTTCTTCCAGGGTACTGTCTGTGTTCTCCTTGATTCTGTTTGAGGTTTCCTTAAGCTCTTACATAGTTCTACAAACATAACTTCTGAATTCCTTCTCGGATAATTCTATTGCCTCCTCTTCCTCCATGTTTACTGAGACTTTTGTTTGGAATTTAACTTCCTTTTTTTTGTTTGTTTGTTTGAGGTTGCCTGTTATTTCCAAGATTTTTTGAAGTTGTCTTTAACTGTTATTTATGTATTGATTTGTTTTGTCTTGGTTTTATGTTTAATATTTTTGAAAAGGTGGATCTTGTATATTTTATTTTTTTTTTTTGGTTATTAATTCAGGTGTGCTGGGTTGCTCTGCAGTTTTCTCTGTGATGAGGAAATCATTGTGTGGAATGTGGATGCAGGTCTCTGTTCATCGTGAAGAGAGTTTAGGATTTGAGCTGGCAGGTGTTATGGTGGCTTAATGTGGTTTTTCTATTGGATGAGGTGGGGAGAGGTGGGGAAAGGAGGAAGAAAGAGAGAGAGGGGAAAAAAAAAAAGCTCCAAGGCACCAGTAGCCATTTCCAGGGCTTTGAGTAGGCTGCTAATGATGACTTACACTGTTACTCACAGGCCCACAGCTCAAGTTTGGCATGGACCCCAATTGTTGGGGGCTGCCACTTTCCTCCAGATTCAGACAACCATAAAAACCTCGCTTTCCAGGCCCCTTCATGCCAAAAAGCTGACCTAGGATAGTTGCCCCTGGGCCCACTCACTTGCAGCATAATTCCCCTCTCTGCTACGGATTCAGTGGCATCCAGAGCCTGAGTGGTCTCTGCTCCCTCAGAGTGGTCCCAACTTTACCAATAAAAGCAGGTGCTGAAGGTAGATTTGTGGAGTGGCTGCAGGTCCTCCAGTGCATTCTCTCTACTGCCTCAGGGAACTCTCTGATGCCCCATCTTGCCAGCCAGTCGGCACTTCACAGGGCAGGATCGCCTGTTTTCATTCTTTCCAGGTAATTGAACTGCCCCTTTCTCCTTTCTAATCCTACTCCCTTGAGTTTGGCATAGTCTGACTTAATGAGCTGTTCAAAGTACCGAATCTCCGCTTCAAACTGCTGCATCTACTTTTTCAGGCACTAAGATGCTAGAGGGAACTAACATGTGTGCTACATGAAAGACACCATCATCTTCCTCCCCCCAACATTTTATTCTTCTTTTATAATCTGTGCACTGTACAAGTTCATCCACGACTTGGCCTAACTGGCAATATACTCAATTCAGAACTCCTGAAAATACTAGAAGTTCTCTTTTTATCTTTTATTAACTATCTCATTTAATCCCCACAACTGCCTTTTGGGATATATGCTATTACTATTCTCTTTGTACAGGTTCTCAATCACTAAACAATTAAATAACTTGTGCAAGCTCATACAGTTATTAAGTCTTAATCTTATGATACCTGACAATGGTTACAGAGGTTCAGCCTTAGAGAAGGCTTTTAAAAATCACTTTTAATACAAAAGTTTTTAACTCTAAACATTGACAAGGGCTTAGTTTCATGTATGTCAAATTCTTATACGTACCTCACTGAAAAGGCTTCCATTAACATATGAAATCCAGAGCTTCCAGAAGTTAGGCAGCTGACTTAAGACAAGCTTGGTCAGTTTTTCAACAAACGCCACCCGGTGGGGAGTTTTGTATCTCCACGCTAAAGGAAGGAAAGAATAACATACTATGAATATACTTTTGAATCAAGAATAAAGTTCTATTTGAAAAGATTGCTGCTCCACTGTCTAAAAATAAAGTATACACTAAAATTTGCCAACATGTGTGTAGAAACAAGTGGTGCACCATTTTAGCTGCATGGCTTTACTTTGTTGATATAAAAATATTTTCTTTTTCATACCATATTACTGATGCCTTCCAGTACCTAGTCCATGTGAGTACACTATAAACCAGGGGTCTCCAATCTGCTTTTTGTTTCCCCTACTGATGAGGACAGACCTTATCTATGCACTATGGCTGACTAGCAGGGCAGGCACCACAGCAAAGAAGTCAGACAGGCAGAGCATCAAGAAGCAGGGGAGGGCATCTCAAAGGCAGCTTTAGCTTATCACCTGGTTGTCCTTAGGATGTCAAGGTCCCCTTCAGAAACTCATGTCTTCAAACAGCAAAATAAGGCAAAGGCAGAGGCTGCCCCATAGCCAGTAACTAAATTTGAAGCTTATATCAACCTTTTAGGAGACGTGTTGGTGCAGTGTTTAAGTGCTCGGCTGCTAACTGAAAGGTCAGTGGTTCAAACCCACCAGCTGCTCTGAAGAAGAAAGATGTGGCAGTCTGCTACCTTAAAAATTACAGCCTAGGAAGCCCTATGGGGCAGTTCTACTCTGTCCTATACGGAAGATATGAGCTGGAATCAACTTGATGGCAACATTTTTTTTTTCCAAATCAACCAGTCAAAAATCCCCACTACACATCCTAGTGGAGAAAATCCAGTAAGGAATCAAGTTGTCACACAGGAACATACTCCAGTGCAACCATGTCATGAATAACTCCTTCCATTGCATAGAAATTTAAGAAAAAAATAAAAACATTGATGCCTCTTAGGTTACATATCACTTAACCCAGTTATTGTAGTAACTGGGAAATAAGGAATTATAGATTTCTTATGGAAAGAATAAGTTCATGGCAATAAAAATAAAGGTACTCATTTAGGACCATTCACCATTTTATAATCTTTTCCCTCTTTCTTTACCTACTCATTATCATCTCCTGCACTTTCTTCCTGTTTCCTCTCTGTTTGAACCCTTACTTCCTTTTACTTACCTCCATGCTGTTTCCTGGTCCCCCTGCTGTTCTGCTTCTGAGCCAAGAATAGGAACACTACAGCATTGTCCCTACTATATCTCAGCTGGATCACTGAACTAATGGCACAGTAATAATCAGGAATGCTTTAAGGGTCAAGTTCTACCCGCTATGCAGCAACTTCAAAGACAGGTCAGCGACATATTAGGGAAATGTCAAGAGAAGGCAGGGAGAGTTTCATTAACTCCTTCCTCTTAGCCACCAACTTCCCTAGCAAAAAGTTTTGTTGTCATTGTTATTCAAGTGGGGGACAAGTGTACTTTATTTTTAAGTGCTTAATACTTTTTTGAACAGTTAGTACTCTGTTAAAAAAAATAAAATTAAATAGATATATACCTATCCCCATCTTCATAATTCCCGACCCCAGTCAGAAGAAACCACTGTCGTTAGTTTCTTGTGATTCTGAAGTGTTTTATACATGTAACAACAACAACAAAAACCCCCATCCCACAGCCAATGAGTCACTTACAACTCAGAGCAACCCCTTGGGTGCAAATATATGCCTCACAACTGTTCTTTTCACCTGTTTTTGTTTGTTTGTTTGTTTTTAAATACAAATGCATTCTAAATATACTCTTTTGACCCTTGGCTTTTTCCAGTAACAATACATCCTAGAGTTCTTTATGTATTCATATATAAAGCCCTTTTTCCATTTCTCCCCACAGTTACACAGTATTTCATAGTTTGGATGTATAATAATTGAACTTAAAAAAAAACCTCAATGCCATCAAGTGGATTCCAACTCACAGCGACTTCCATTGGGTTTCCAAGGCTGTAAATCTTTATAGAGGCAGACTACCTCATCTTTCTCCCATGGAGTAGCTGATGGATTCAAACCACCAACCTTTTGATCACAGCCAAATGCCTTAACCATTATACCACCAGAGCTCCTTATAATTTAACTAGTCTCCTTCTAATAAACAAAATTGTTACCGATCTTTTGCAGTGAAAATTTATGCTTTAGCAAATAATTTTGATTCTGCAGCATTTAGCACTAATGCAAATGTAAGCGTAGAATAAATTCCCAGTATAGGAATTACTGGATCAGAGAGCATATGTAGTTGTAGCTTTGCTAGATATTATTAAATTGCCATCCATTGAGGTTATTTATATTTCTACCAGGAATGTGTGGAAATACGTGATTATAACCTCACCAATGAACAAACCAAACAAACACCAAAACAAAATAAACACTGCTTTGGGGGCCAATCTGCTATCTCGTGACAGTGTCATATTGTCTTTTTTTCCTTTTAAATATGAGTGAAGTTAAGCATGTATTCATATGCTTAAGAGCCATTTAGAGTTCATTTCTGTGGTGTCTAGAATTTCAAGTCCCTGGGTGGCACATTTACATTAGTCTAAATAACTTAAAGGTTAACAGTGTGAACCCACCCAGAAGTGTCACAAAAGAAAGACCTGGCAATCTAATTCCACAGAGACTACAGCCAAGACAGCTTATGGAACAGTTCCACTCTGTAACATATTGGTTACCATGAGTTGGAACTGACTCAAGGGTATGGGCAGAGCCTCTTTATTAGGGATATTAGTCCTTTGTCTATGATATGAGTTGTGAGAGAATGTTTTGACACTTTTTTTTTTTTTTTTAAACAATTTATTATGGTTTGGGTACAAGTTTACAGAGCACATTAGTTTGCCATTTAATAATTCATACACATTTTGTTCTGTGCAATTAGTTACAGGTATTATGAGCTGAACTATGCCCTCTGAAAAGGTATGTTAAGTCCTAAATCCTGTACCTATGAATGTGACCCTGACTTAAAAAAGAGTCTTTGAAGATATTATCAGTTGGGTTAACATGTTACCATGGTAATAATAACTGATAATACTGCAGTACAATCAGTTGCCAATGATTCTTGATTCATGGTGAACCCATATGTGTCAGAGTAGCACTGGGCTCTAGAGGGTTTTCAGTGGCTAATGTTTGGTAAGCAGATCACCAGGACTTCTTCAGAGGTGGACTTTCTGTCTCTTAGTGGACTCAAATCTCTAACTTTTCAGTAAGCAACTAAGTGCATTAACTGTTTATACCACCTAGGGCCTGGGTCCTAATTCTGTATGACTGATGGACTCATAAAAGAGGAGAATAGAAACATAGACTGGCTAAGAATGATGCCTTGTGATGCTTCAGCTGCTAGCCAAGAAATATCTGAAGGCTAGGAGAGAAACCTGGAACAGATTCTCCCTCAAAGCCTCAGAAAGGATCAGTGAGGGGGATGCTCGTGAGTTCTCAACTCCCAGACTCCAAAACTGTGAGACAATAAATTTCTGTTCCCATAAACCACCAATATGTGGTATTTGTTCCAGCAGCCTGAGGAAACCAATATAGCAGATTAACTGGTAAAATTATTTTGCCTGAGTTCATTACAGTATGAAATGTTAATATACTTATTAAATAATCTTGTTAGATTATCATACTGAGTGGGAAGTCCTGGAATTACTTAAATGTGCTAGTCTTCAATCATCAAAGTTCATCCTGGAAAACAGCTGGGGTTGCTGGGACATCCTGCCAGTGAGAGAACATTTCTTGATCTCATGTATTAATTGATACTTTTCTTACTTGCAAATTCTTTTGTTTGTATGCATGCATGAATCGTGTGTTTGCAAAGAGTCCCTGGGTGGTGTAAACAGTTAAGTGCTCTACTGCTAAGTGAAAGGTTGGCAGTTTGAGTCCACCCAGAGGTGTCCTGGCAATCTGCTTCTGAAAGGACACAGTCTTGAAAAGCCTATGGAGTAAGTTCCATTCTGCACATATGGGGTCATCATGAGTCAGAATCAACTTGAAGACAACTAACAACAACGTATATATGTATGCATGTAATGAGAGCCCCCCACACACACCGCTTCTTCTAAGTCTACTTCATCAAAATTCTGAACATTTTAACCAAAAAATGAACTTAGATTTTCCTTTTTTACTGAATCCAACACATCCTAGTTAAATTCCCACATGCTAAGTCACTGATAAAATACTTTTAAAGTTAGTATCAGGAGCTCTGGTAGCATAGTGCCTAAGGCAGGCACTTGACTGCTAACCAGAAGGCTGGCAGTTCAAACCCACCAGTCAGTCTTCGGAAGGAAGGCTGGGCAATCTACTCCCATAGTGATACTGCCTTGGCAACCCAAGGAGGGGTCACTATGAGTCAGGTCTGACTCGATGGCACATAACAACAACAACAACAAAGTCAGTATCAGTGACTGATGAATGGCACCAAGGGGATAGGGCGGGAATGTTCAAATTTTTCAAAAGAAAGTTCAAATCATGCAGGCTCATAAACCTTGTGTTGGTCACAAAATCAAGAATGAGCTTCTTCAACTTTATTTATATATATTGTTGGAATCAAATCGATGGTGGTAGGTTTGTTTTCAGTTTACTACATGTTTATTGTAAATAATCTATACCATTTAATTTCAAGGAAAATTAAATTTGAATTATTTGACTTCCACTTGTAGCCATGATTGAGCAACAGGGACTTTCTGAGTAAAAAAAAAATGAAAACAGGAGATCGAGGAGGATGAGGTGACTGGAAATTGCAGAAGAAAGTACTGGAAAGGAAGGAGCTATTAGAAATAAAGCTCCAGGAATCTGCATCTTCTTTAGTCTTTGCTGAGTTCTAGGCCCTGTATATGTAGAGTGAAGATTCACAAAGACAGGCAGAGAATGATCAAGGAATTGTAAACTAAACAATTCTCAGAAATCACACAGGGCAGGAAGATATTCTAGATTTTGGCAGTCAAAGCTAATAGTCTTCAGCAATTACCTGAGGCATTTAGTAGAGAATCAAGGAGTCATGACATAGTAGAAGGGCTGAAGAAGGCTACTCTAGATCTGCACCAGCAAAGCTTAACAACAGGCCAAATTGATGGGTAAATAACTGCCTGCTAAAACAAAGCCCAGCACTCTTTAAAGGAAGACAACAAAATCCAGACACGCAACACTGTAACATTCATAATGTCTGGAATACAATTTAAAAAATGTATTGCACATGCCAAAAAGCCGAGAAATGTGAACCATAACCAGAAACTATGAGAAAAATAAGTCAATAGAAATAGATTGAGAAACAGCAGGGTTAACAGACAAGAACATTTAAAAAGCTATTAAAACTATAATAAAATATTTAAAGGAATATGAAAATGATGAGAAAAGAAAGAGGGACCTTAAAAAGATGAAAAATGGAGTATCTGAAAGAAAAAAAAAGGCGGGGGAGGGGAGAACAGCTAGATGTCTAACACACATATAATTGGGAGATCCAGAAAAAGGTAAGGGAGCAGAAAAAATGTTTGAGAAAACCATGGCTGAAAAATTTCCAAAACTGATGAAAATTATAAACTCAAAGATCTAAAAAGCTCGACAAAACCCAAGCAGGATAAATATGAACCATTCAAGATGATATAATTCATTACAGTCAGCCTCAAGTATAATTTCTAATTTGGCATAGTGCCTAAGGCATTTGACTGTTAACCAGAAGGCTGGCGGTTCAAACCCATCAGCCACTCCTCGGAAGGAAGGTTGGGCAATCTACTTCCATAGAAATACTGCCTTGGAAACCCAAGGAGGGGTAGCTATGAGTCGGATCTGACTCAACGGCAGTGAATTTGGTTTTGGTTTTTCGAATTGATAAAATCCTGGTAGCAAGACAACTGATGGCAGTGAATTACAGGCATACTTCTGAGATATTGTGCATTCAGTTCCATACCACCACCACAATAAAGTGAGTATCACAATAAAGTGAGTCACACAATTTTTTTTTCCAAGTGCATGAAAAAGTTGTTTACACTATATTGTAGTCTATTTAATATGCAATAGTAAGAAAGAGTTTCAAATATTGTGAGAATACCAAAATGTGACACAGATACACAAAGTAAGCAGACTTGCTCAACACAGGGTTGCTACAAACCTTCAATTTGTAAAAAATGCAGTATCTGCAAAGTACAATAAAGTGAAACAAAATAAAACAGGTATGCCTATAGATAAGAGCAGATTAAAACTGATTTATTGTACTACTAATTAAGGGAAGAAAATGTTTTATAAACTGAAGCAGGTTGAACTCTAGAGTCAGATCCAGGCTACATTTGCTGACAGGGCTACATGTTAAGACACCATACCACAGAATGCAGAAACCAATAATTCCATTCCTTCGTTGTTTGTATCAGTGCTTGGTGGGCTGGACAGAAAATGGGAGCAGGATAAGAATAAAGAAAATAACCGTATGGAAATCCATTATTTAGTGCAAATGAATCACCCAGTTTTAAAATACTCTTACAATGGACATTCATGTTTATTAATGAAACTCTAGAAAAATCCCCTATTTCAATAATTATAAGACTAACATGAAGTACTTCAAACTAAACTTTAGAGGTATTAACCTTAACATAAAGTATCTTTATTACTAATTTGGATGTATTTTATCCATTACTGTGGTCATAAACAACCAGTGTTTGATACCATCTAATTTGGTACATGAATGTAGAATAACTAATACATCTTATATTTCATATAGATTAATAGTCAATAGTACATGGCAACTTTACAAAGTTAAAAAATACAAAATGTGACAATTTGAGATTATCTCAGAAAACTAAATGGTTATTAGCAATTAATTTCTAGTTTATTACAACCCATCCTTCCTTCCAAATCAAATTTTAAAATTCATTTAAAAAGTATCTTTTTTTCTGTATATTGTTGTTGTTGTTGCTATGTGCCATCAAGTCGGACCCAACTCATAGCAACCCCTCCTTGGATTTCCAAGACAGTATCACTACAGAAGTAGATTGCCCCATCTTCCTTCCAAGGAGTGGCTGGTGGGTTTGAACTGCCAGCCTTCTGGTTAGCAGTCAAGTGCCTTAGGCACTACGCTCCCCGAGAAAAATCAAAACGGACTTTAAATAAGATGAATAAACACTGTGCCCAACGACTTATAAAAAAATTCAAATGACATTTCTTTAATGTAAGATATAATACGTATTTTAACTATTTAAATTAAATTAATAGGTAATAAGCACAAGAGATGAAAGCTGGTGATACTGAGGAGTGGTAACACCAATAATTACTGAATTTTCTAAGAGAAGTAAGTTTAAAACTAGATGTTGTTGCTGTTGTTGTTATGTGCCATCGAGTCGGACCCGACTTACAGTGACCCCTGCTTGGGTTTGCGAGGCGGTATCACTACGGCAGTAAGTGTCCATCCAACCTTCCTTCCGAGGAGTGGCTGGTGGGTTTGAACCACCAGCCTTCTGATTAGCAGTCAAGTGCCTTAGGCACTACGCTACCAGAGCTCCTTTAAAACTACATGAGTACATATTTAAAAGACAATATGAGGAATGGGAACGAGATGGCAGTGCTTACTTACTATCATCTCTAAGGGACTGAAAGCTACTTCCCCTCTTGAGTGATGCTGTCTGAGTAAGATGACCCAGCACTGAGGAGCGCATATCATTATCGAGATCCAACATGGGGCTGTGCAGGCCTGGGCCACCTGGGAGAGAGAGACGATGCTTGTAAGCATTACATATATTCTTACTTAGCTGATTTTATGGACTACTTCTACAGGTTAGTTCTTGATCAACTGCTCCACTCTTTTAAATAAAGTGTTTATAAAGTAAAATCAGAAGTATTTTCTCTAAATTGTTTTTAAAAGTTATTCCCACCACGTCAGATTTGGAAGATACAATCAGTATTTTGGCTTAATAAAAAGATGTGACAAACCATGTGGTAGAGCTTATATATAATATATGAATGTACCTTCAGCAAATTGGGGGTAAGTGGGGGTACTTGTTGTTGTTGTTGTTATGTGCCGTCGAGTCGGCCCCGACTCATAGCGACCCCTCCTTGGGTTTCCGAGGCAGTTATCACTCCGGAAGTAGGATTGCCCAACCTTCCTTCCGAGAAATGGCTGGTGGGTTTGAACCGCCAGCCTTCTGGTTAGCAGTCAAGTGCCTTAGGCACTATGCTACCAGAGCTCCAGTGGGGGTACTATAAGCATAAAATTCCAGAGAAGAAATCAGTTTTTGAAAAACAACTTGTTGACACTTGTATAGAAAGTCACAGATTTCTGATTCTTCTATTTCTTTTATTTATTTAAAATTTATTGTGATTTGAGTGAAAGTTTACAGAGCACATTAGTTTTCCACTCAACCATACACACACATTTTGATTCATGTCACTGATTGCAATTGCCTCGATGTAATGGCACTTTTTCCGTTCCCTCCCTGTGCTTACCATTTCCATTTGTCCTTCTTTCCTATCCCTTCCTGCCTTCTGAGTTTTATCCTTGGGTAAATGCTGCCTTTGAGATCTCATATGATTGGTTCTAAGGAGTGCATACCTCCCTGGTGTTACTGTTCACATTGTAGGCCTGTCTACTGTTCGGCTTAAAGTTCAGCCACCAAAGAGTTCAGTTCTAGGCTTGAAGGGTACCCAAGGGCCCTGTCTCAGGGTTTCCACCTGTCTCTATTAGACTCTTCTACTTTTAATGGCATGGTACACAAACCTTCTCTGACTTCCAGAACACCCCCTTCTCTATTTGAATCCCCCATCCCATGAATGTGGGAATTTGATTCCGTGCTTCTATTGCCAATGCCAGTAACCTAGTTTGGGTGTTTTTCACTATACACAGGCAAGGCTTTAGACACTAGCATTTCACTATGGCCAAGAAATCTTTTGTGCCATGGATTAATTTCAATGAAATACTGCTTTCTTTATTCTCTTCCCAGAAGTCTTCCAGAAAACCCTCAGGGAAATGTCTAACCAGTGTTTTCCAATACAAATTACCTTGAGAACCAGGAGGTAATTTTTCTAAAGTGGATATCAAGAGCAAGTAGGAATGGAATCCCATATTGCTAAGGGAGGAAGTAAGGAAGGTGGTTTAAGTGATAGAAGTATGTCTAAGTCCATAGAGGTACCTAGAAACACCACTCTAAGCTCTTTAGCTGAGCATTCAAAGATCTTCAAAATAAAGTGAATTAAACAAATATTTACAGTGTCTTTACTGTCCATAAGATCCTTCAAAAATCTCCTTACGAAAATGTATCTTACATTTTCCTAACTTTTTCTCTCTTCTCAGCTTGAAAGGCCTCACTCATCCATTGTCTCCATCCATTTAAACCCTTTTCCTTCAAGACTCAGCTTGAGTTACAGCTATTCCATGAAACACCAGCTCAAAGTGTTATCTATCTTCTCTCCTTTCCAGTGGTAGTTTTAATGGATATAATTCATGTGTTTTTACAGTCTACGCTATATTGATAATCAACTCTAAACTCTATGGCTACCTCCAAAGCAGACTTTTTAGGGATAAAGACTGAATATTATATCTCTGTACTCCTCATATTCATTGCACCTTCCACAAATAACTCTGTAAATACATACTGAATGACTGATATTATATTATTCAATGAGAATTCTATTTCTTATTTTATAACTTCAAAAGCTTATGGATTTAGTTCCAGGTGCTAAAGATAAAACACATTTATGTGATTAAAACAATAATTTTATGCCACTGATAATGCTAGCTATTCAGTAACATTTAATAAGTATTCACTGAGTACTTTCTATGTGGCAGGAATTGTATGCCTTGAAGATAAAGTGATGATATGGTGTTTGCATTCTGGTGGTAGAGGCAGAAACTAAACAAATAAACAATGAACAACAAAAGTAGAGTAACAAGTGCACTGCAGAGATTGTACAGGGTGACATGATGTGACATGACATAACGGGTAACGGGATTAGGTGCTTACAGAGGGGCTGACTGCATGGGCTCCCCTCACCATGGGCCACTGCACATGGTACATTGCATACTCCCTCCTGTATCTTCACAATATCATCTTTCTGGCAGGTTTTATAGAAACAGAAATTAAATTGTTTGGACAGAATTTTTAGTGGAATAGAATTTTCTTAAAGACTTATTATGTTTCAGTTACTGTGTGAAATGCTTCACATTCATTTCTACTTTGGAAAACACTGCATCTAAGATAAGATTTGTATAATTCAATATGTTGAAACACAACACAGAAAATAGTGATAGAGTAAGGAAATACTCTCTATGATACCAAATATCATTTGATATTTTCAAATGAAAATATCATATAAATGTAGAAGCCTTAATGATTTATACAACATTTTCCTTTGAAATTTATATAATCAACTTTGCTACTAATTGTAGGATTCAGGAAAATATGCAAGTAATAAATTTATCACATACTTTAAAAGCAAATACAAAAGGGCCCAGACTTAGCATCACATTAAAACTTTATATAAAAATTTATACTAAAAAATGCAAGATGAAAATGCTTAAATTAAAAATTTACATATTATTCTTGAGGGTTCCAGGATGATAAATTTATGATTAACAATAAAAACATTTCCTAGGTTCCTAAAAATATATTATATACTTTTCTTTCAAGTAAAACAATTGTCATTGTTTAAATAGATCCTCAGAAAAAGTTATCTCCTCAAAACTGTTGTTTCTACAATTTTAAATTAAATATTAAATTATTCATACAGTTTAAGTAAATCTTAAACTTTGAAACTGTTCAAAGATTGTTTTTTTTCCTTCTAAAAACAGAAACTGTATTAAGAATATGCTTTTGTTATTAAAAAACAAAATCATCAGTTTTATATGATATCAGGAAAAGAAAGTTTAACATGAACTAATTTCATAACTGGTTGCTGTTGTTGTTGTTCCTGTGGTTAGAAGCCACTGAGTCAGTAACAACTCATGGCAACCCTAAGTACAACAGAATGAAATCACTGATTGGTCCTGTGCCATCCTCATAATTATGGCAATGCTTGAGCCCACTGTTACAGACACTGTTCAATCCATCTCACTGAAGGTCTTCCTCTTTTTCACTGACTCTCTACTTTACCAAGTATGATCTGCTTCTCCAGGGACTGGTCCCTCCAAATAATAATGACCAAAGTACGAGAGACAAAGTCCTGCCATACTCTCTTCTAAGGAACATCCCAGCTGTACTTTCCAAGACAGATTCGTTCATTCTTCTGGCAGTCCATGGTATACTCAATACTCTTCACCAACACCATAATACTAACATTACTAGCAAGTACAACACAGCAGCAGGGTGCTAGAACAGCACGTACACCCTCAGGTTTCACTGGCATCTGGAATACATTTGTATATACTTTTCATGATGATCAGAAGAGGGCGCCTCAGTGCTGCACATGGACATACAAGTACTATGTCCTGAGTAGGCACTAACCTAGAAAAGCAAAGCCTCCCTCTCGTTTTGTTCCTTTTCTGTCACCAAAGTCTTACAATGAGTTGATTTGCATGGAGTTTAGAGGATTATGCACTAATTACTATCAATGTCAAAAATTTTTAAAAAAGCAGCAAAAAACCTGAGAATTCTGACATTCCTTTTAAACTTAAATTATATGACTTCTATTGCCGTTGTTTTCTGATGTCGAGTCAATTCTGATTCATAGTGACACTATGTGACATACTAGAACTTCCCCCCTAGGGTTTCCAAGGCTGTAATTTTCAGGGAAGCACACTGCCAAGTCTTTTCTCCTGCAGATCAGCTGGGTCAGTTCAAACCACCAACCCTTCAGTTAGAAGCAGAGCGCTTACCCATTGCACCACCAGGGTTCTTTATAAGACTTCTATACCACAATAATTATTACAAATATAAAGTCGTTTTGAAGATAAATGAGCATTATTATAAAACAGCAAAGAAAAGGATTTAAAAAATAATTTCTATAAAATATTAAATCAGCAAAAGGTTTTAAAATAACTCACAAATCAATTTTATTTTTTCTTGTAGCAGTTTGTTTAAAAGAAACAAACACATTTTACAAAATACATGATTGTAACAGAGTATAGTAAAACCATTATGACATTTCCCTGTACTGTGCTCTCACTTGCCTGCAGATTACATGCACTAAAACAAGATGACACAGTTTCTCTCAGAAAACCAAAAATATCTGCCCCTCAAGATTCAAAGCATTACTCAACTCCAGCTTTTCATTAGAATGTTAGCTCACAATGGAACATTTTACAGGTGACTGAGACAAACTGCTCCCTATATTTGCAATTGGGGCAGGGATTAAGTCCACTAAAGATACTCACAGCTATGCAATTGGTATGGAGTTTTGTTCTAGGAGTCATAGGCCATTGTTTCATCACCTGTAAAAACCAAGACTCTAAACTCTAATTTTAGAATCTTTTTTAGCTCCAAAATTTTCTGATTCTGTGGTTCACAGTTTAAATTTAAAACTCTACATCACTGTTAAGGACAAAATGGAAAATATGTATTCTTTTCACTGATTCAGTTATAATTTTACCAATATATGAAATAAAAAAAAAGTATATCTTATCTACAGATGCATGTGGAAGGAAAAAAAATCCTTCAAAAGCTTGAATTTAAAAATATTTAACAAAATTTCTTTACTGACAATCAAGAGTCAGTATTTTATTTCTCCAGTTAAATAAATTTCTCTAACATACGCTAGCAGCATTCTCAA